GCATACAGCCGGGCCTGGTTCATAAGCCTTTGGTAATCAATGGCACTCATTGCTCCAAAGGTGTATACATGGTTGGCATTGACCCCTGCAGGAATTGCCGCTCCTAACCCAGGACCACCATAATGGAAGGACACATAGTCAGGATTCATGTTCGATAACTGTTCTTCATACACGTCATGATCTGGAGTGATGATGACAAAGATGTCGTTCTGGACCCTTGCCCCCACGAGTCTAGCATGGATGCAAGGAGGCACCTCGCCATAATTGACAAAGCAAATATCGCCTTCGGATATCATTGCAGAGTCAAAGCCAGCGTGCTGCCTGTGACGCCCTTCTTCCCTTTGCCCTTCGTTGGCAACTCCAGAATCTTATCCCTTGACGTCCACTGCAACCAAAAGATTCCAAAACCAATCCAGCTCACTGCCAAAAGGGCGACCAGAATCCAGAGCTTTAGACTGGGATAATTGTCCGAAACTGAAGTGCACTCGCAATGGCAGACACAAGGATTTGTCAGGGGACGAACGTCAGGTCTCTGGCCCCAGATGTGTCCTCCCCAAGATATTCCCAGTGCCAGAGCAGCCCCGAGCAAAGGCAAATCCATGAACCCCACTACTTCACTAGCAAGAGATTCTTGAGAACAAGAACGGCATCCCAGGGTGCTTCGCTGTCACACTTTCGAACTTCGTAATGATCAATGTTCTTGCTCAAGCAATCAATTCTAAGCAGCACTGCTGCAGCCTTTCGCTGTCATGCTGACTCAGATCTCAACAAATACTACTACTACGAATAATACTAATCCTAATATTAATATTAACAATACTAATACTCATACAAGTACTAATACTAATATTAATACTAGGACTAATCCTAATGCTAATACTAGGACTAATACTAATACTATAATACTAATACTAGTACTAATACTAGTACTAATACTAATACTAATTCAAGTATTAATACTAATACTAATACTAATGCTAATGATAATACTGCTACTAATACTAATCCTAATACTAAGATTAATACGATTACTGTCACCATTAGGATTTACTTGGGCCCCCTTCAAACAATTTCAACTCAGGATCCAAAAATTGTTTGGGGGGCGGGTGGGACTACATACTAAAGCAGGTCCAACATTACTTCATTGCCAGCAAGTCCGAGGTTGAGTCAAACAAGCCTTTCCATTTGACCGCCGTGGATTGGGCATCCCGAAAGCTGGTGAGAACATGTCATCACGTTGGTCAAGCCTGGCGGCCGAAACACAATCCGCCGACACCGCTGTCGATGAGCTTGAGTGGGCAAATTCAAAAACTTTTTAGAACTTGATCATCAAGCCTGTGGCCCACCCTGCGAGTGACGAAGTGCCAGCTACCACTGGGTGCTTTGCCATCGTTGACACCAAGTCCCTTTGGGATGCCGCCGACAGCACGAGTGCTGGATTGAAGCTTTCTGAGAGAAGGTCTGCGCTTGAGCTCGCGGCCTCAACCAGAGACCTCGGGCCATGAAAGGGCGCTGGAAGTGGTCGCAGCAGCTGGCCAACGGGTTGACCAGTCCCTTGAGAACTTCGCCTGTGGTGTCATCTCCTTGCGCTTCGATGATGCCATGGCTGCCGCGAAGAAGGTGAGCCACGCGGAAAAGCAGGCCGAGATCCAGGAGCTAGACGCCGCTGCGCGCGACGTGGCCAAGGACGCGAGCCCGAACCACAATGAGGTCTACACCACGGATGCTGTCTTGCCCGCGTGTCAAAGACCTGGGTGTGGCAAGCCTGTGCCCGAGAAAAAGAGAGAGGCCATCGCTACTGCTCGCGACTGCGTTCATCTACTATGAGCCCACGTCCGCGAGCTTTCCCTTGCGCCTTGCTTTGGATGTTTGCTGCCTCCTGAGCATCTTCATCGCGATCCTCCTGGTGGTGATCACCGATCACCTGGCATCAATCTGTGGAGGAATACCGCGCGAACCATGTCACTGCTTGGACGATGACTCTACCTCAACTTCCCGAACGAAGTTTACCTGCGCTACTCTGAAGGCGACTGCCGAAGCTTCCACACCGTCCCACGACTTGGAGAATCCAGAGGCTGAGAGGCTACGACGACAGCTCATCAACCGCGATGTGGAGCTGACACGCAGCCAGACTCTAGCCAGACCAAGGCAACAATGAGGAGCTGACACGCAGCCAGACCCAGGCAATTCGACTCGGGCGGCTATACGATGAAAAGGCCGAGCAGGTCAATGAACGTGATCCTTGCATCCTGGAGCTGAAGGAGCAACTTCAAGGTCAAGTGCAAGCTTTGCAGGCCGCTCAACAACCACGGCTGCCTCACCAGGTCTGCGTTACTCCCTACAGTCGAAGATATCATCCCAATGGTAACTGTGGCCACATCCGTGGTCATCAAGGCTTGCGCCTGTTCACTCCTTGCGCCGACTGCGCAAGATGATCTTCATTCACCTTCAACTACCAATGTTCGGATGCGGATGGTAGAACCGTTCTGGGTTCACACAACGAGCTCTTGAGGCCGAAAGTTCTTCAGTTTGAACCTCCCTGTTTCCTGCGGTGACAATGACAGTCTATCGCTGCATTAAATGCCAATGTATGCGCAGGCATGTGCGCCGTACACGTCTCATGCCTGTTGCATTCCGCAACTCATGGCGCTGTCAGTCTTTGAGCCTCCCGGAGGCCTCTTGCGCCCGCGTACTCGACACACAGGTGGAAAGCAAACCTGATAGGATCCACGAATCCGAATGCAGACACATGACACGTACATCGCAAAGATAATAACACCCGACGCGTCACACCAATCAGGAAATTTAAGTCCGGGTTCATCCTCTCTCCTCTCCGCTCTCTCCTCTCTCCTCTTTCCTCTCTCTTCTCTCCTCTCTCCTCTCCTCTCCTCTCCTCTCTCTCTCCTCTCCTCTCTTCTCCTCTCCTCTCTCCTCTCCTCTCTCTTTTCTCTCTCTCTTCTCTCCTTTCCTTTCTATTCTCTTCTCTCCTCTCTCTTCCCCCCTCTCTCCTCTCTCCTCTCCTCTCTCCTCTCCTCTCTCTCTTCTCCTCGATATCGGGTAAGGTCGCTCTGCTGTGACCAGTCGAATATCCATATTCTTTTATGTTCGTGGCATTGAAACATGCAGATGTAACTGGGGGTTTGGGTCCTGGCTTCACATGATGCATCAACACCCCAGGGAAGACCCTTCCTTCCCCATAATTCGACTCATACTATTTGCGTTGTTCTGGTAGAGGCCTGTTCTGTCCCAACATAGCGGATATAAGTATTACAAGACTTAGATCTTGGAGAGTTGCAGGACAGCATTTTTATAACAATATGCATGTAGCATGACCTTCTCTAAAAAATAGAACCTGGGCAGGATATGGACGGAGCCCATAGAAAATGGCGGTATTGCATCCAAAACTTCTCAAATTCGTTGGATTTGGCTATGCCAGGGTCTTCAACAAGGACTGCAAGCATATGGACGATACCTTCGTCAGAAATTGTATAATAATACCGCAAGAGAACTCCTATAAGGGTATGGGCGGGCCTCGTAGATCAGCGTGCTGTAACGTCCAGGACTTGTTTGATTGTTGGATTTGGTTATGCAAGGGGCTTTCACAATAGTATATAAATGGTATGGAGCCCAAACGAAAAAGCTTCTAGCTCCTCGGGCTTTAAGGACTTCAAGGAGGAGGGGTACCTCCTGGGGGCCTCCTCTCTCTCACAAAGCTTGCTTCACTATGACTCCTCCCAGCTTCTTTTCCCAAGGCTGGCATACTGGCATAGATCTCTGCATGCTCCATTTGGATCCTATACTTGAGACGGATAAACAGCGCCAAGAAAACATAATTTTGAAGTCATGTCGACGTGTCACAACGTCACTACGTAGATCTGTTTCACAACATGGCCCACACTTTATAGTTTTCTATGAAGTTCAAAAGCGTGGGCTCGTATTCTGACCACCGTTTCCTGGGTCATTGAGACAGGACTCAACCCTCAAGGGCCCCTCCTAAAAAAAGTCTGCATGTGAACCGAGCCAATTTACGGAGACCTTAGACCTCATAAAGTTCCAGTCTAGTGTTCACTCCCGAAGGGCCCTAATGACGTCGCGGTCTAATGCTGAAGCCCTTGAGGACTGCGTATAGAGTCTCTGGGCGGCCCAACCTCGTTCCTGCAAAACCTGAGCACATTCGAAACCCTTAACTGTTACCTCCACGGCATTCTTTACCATCTAAAAGGTAGACACACTGCGCCTTGGTAGTGCTTTAGCTTGTTGTCGTCTGCGACCTAAGGACGTACATGCTGCAACCAACATACTTCCGATGTTTTTGACCCAGTTCTCCTACAGTTGTCTATTCTGATCCTGGGATCATCCAATAATACACGATTAATGTAGTCCGCTTAGGTCTCTGAAGTGCTCCCTCGCCGCAACGCTCAAACACAAATGATTCATCAGTAACATCACCGTTGTGATTTGGCTACCGATCAAAACCACGTTCCTCGCGTGAACGTCCATATGCTGTTTGATCCGGAGGGTCTGGATCGCACGCTTGTTCCGGAGGGTCTTGAGCGTGATTTGTTTCGATCTGCTTGGGGGGCATGCTGACCAGTAACACCCACTAACAGCTACTAACATGATGATCATGTCGATGGCCCTCCGAGCACGCAACAACACACAAATGAGTCACGCAGCACGAAACGCATGTGCTGGTCTGGGGGGTATGGAACGGGTATGGCACGAATCCCTGATTCGAAAGACGAATCAAAAAGAGTATACGATGACGCGTTCCGGACCAATCATATTCAGGGCCTGTAATTTTGTGTTCTGATTGTGAAATCTACCGCGCACCTCCCCTGCTCACTCGCACTGCTTTTCAGAAAACGACTGGTCAATCACTGTTTCCAGCTCTCAAGCCCGGAGGGAACTATTACGGAACACTATCAGTCCTGTCAAGCTGTCCGGGTACGCTGAAGATGCCGGGTCCTCCAAAGCTGAGAGGGTTCTGGAGGTTGCTATCAAAGGCCTCCTTTGGAGCCGATGAACCCCGAGGCACCGGATATTTGGGCATCGTACCAGCAGCCATGGTACTGCTTGCCATCAGGCCTGCAGCCGATTCTAGCAGAACAGAGCAGGAAGTTTCTAGGAAAGCTGCAGAAACATTCTAATCGAGCTCGCGTGGCCAGGATAACGTTCCAATGCCAGAAGCAACATCGAGCTGGTAATGTCCTCGATGCTCCCCTGATATCAATGACAACAGTTTGACATGACACGTGACCCTACCATGAGCAGACAACGAGGTTCCAACGACCATCTGGCCACGTGTATACACCACGTCCTTGCGAAGCAGAAATCTTGCTCAACCAGCTTAAAGAAAAGCGGTTGAAATTGCAGGCATGGAAAGGACATTCTGGACTCTGTCAAAATGCATCCGGCTGAGCAGATAGCCATGCTTTTTCGAATGGAGCCACTGTCCCCTGCAGAGATCTGCACAGGAATCACAACCGCGGACGCACGTCTTCACTACAGTGCGCTACAAAGACAATCACAAGCACCCCCAAACCATGTCAAACCTGTATATGCGGCAGCCGCCGTCGGATGACAAGACCCCATGGCCACAAATCAAGCCCGCTCGCCACCTGATGACAGACAGACTGTGCGAAAGATACTGAAAATTGACGCACTTTTCTCTGTTACCAGTACCCAACAACGACCACGACACCACAGCCACAGCCACCGCCTACAGCCACCAACAACAAAGAGGAAGACGACAACAACACCCAACACAACACCGACGCCCAAAACTACACCAAGAACACCCATCCAACCACCCCTCCTCCACCGCCACCGCCACCAGCTCCACCAGCGCCAGCTCCACCGGTGCCAGCGAGGCCGCCAAGACCAGCACCACCACTACCCCCACGACCGCCCCCCCCGCCGACGACGACGAAAAAACATCAGCTGAGAGCTGAGCTGTCCAGCAAAGCGGCTGCCCTCTTCCCATTCGCACACGCCCGAGCCATCCTCAGGTCTTGGTTTACAACCCTGACACTGTAGATACAAGTACGAACTGGCTTCAGAGCAACATGAAGTTGACCGTTCTCATTTCGTTCACAAGACGTCATGAAGCAATGGCTGCGCCATGCTGCGCCTTCTGCCCTCTGCAGAAATCTCCCCAATACACTGCGGCCTCCGCAGAGGCCAAAGAATTCCGCGAAAAAAAGATAACAGAAGGTGGCTGAAAATCGACAAGCCCTTAGGGTTGTGCTGTGCAGTCGGAGTCCGCTGCCTCTTTGGAGCCTTCGAATCCGATCACTTGCATGCACCAAGAAAAACGTGAACGCTCTTCGCATCTTCCAACTGATTGGCTGCTTCCATGCTTGGATTGCGAAGCCCTCCCTTTTCTCTTTCCCCTGATTTGGTCCTTGCCAATGACAATGTTGAATGGAACTGGCTGTGCTAGGCAGCCGCGCACTGCATGATCAGTGCAAACGTATGGTAAGAAGTCAGCGCCACCAGAGCAAACGGGAACTACGCCAACAACTTGGCAAGTAGGACCTGGGAACTTCTCACAAGCGCCACGCACTGGACTGATATTCGCTGGTGCCAGCTGAAACTTCATTTCTGTGGTAGCAAGCTGCCACAGGGTGGAAGAGGCATATGTACACTTGGAGAGTGATGATCATTCGGCATGCTGACCTCACACTTTGCAGAGCTGAGCCAGGCCAAGTGGCTTCTTTGCGTCTCGTCTGATCCACAAGTTGCGTGCGCATGCTCTCGCAAGTGGGAGGTAGCAGCTGACCAAGAGGTCAGAAGCAGCAGCACTCACTCGTCCATTCCCATGCGTGCGGTGCGGATAGTGGCAGGGAGCTTATCCCAGCCATGATCCCATCACCGTTTTTTGTGGGAAGTCCACCTTAACACAAGGCTGACTGAGAGCTGGGACAAATTCATTCCTGGGCTAGATGCTGTGATGCTAAGACGCAGCCTCAACCAGCAGAAGCAGCTTCATGACATCTTCGCGCTTGCCAAGCGTTGCAAGTTTCAGTGCTGTCCTAAACATAGCAAACATCCACTGACAAGAATCCAAACTCGCCTCAAAGCGGCTTGAAGCTCTGAATTCAATGCCTCTGGTGCAACCGACGTTTCTTTGCCAAAGCTCATTCCATCTTCGTCCTCGGCCTGTATGTCGGCGCCATTATCCAGAAGGAATCGAACGATATCTGCCAGGCAACATCTTTTCATGCGAGCTAGCCGAACAGCCCCCCATCCTTGCATCAGTTCTGCCTTCGTTTCCGTTCACCGATGCCCAAAGAAGCGCAGTCATCTTTCCGTTGTCTCTTGCCTCCACATTTGCTCCAGCCTCGACGAAGTAGCGAACAACGTCCTAGTCGCGCTGATGGGAGGTTTGAAGGCACTGTGCAGTCAGGCATTGCCAAGCCGAATGCGAATTAGCAGTGCAAGCTCAGCTGCAAGATTCCCGTAAGCAGCGGCTAAGGCCAGTGGTGTCCGTCCGGAGTCGTCCAACGCCTGGCTAGCGTTTATTTTTCCCTTTTGCGTGCCTTGCTGGCCTCTATATGACTGGAGCAGAGGCCCGGGGAAGGAAGGATTTCAATTCCCCATGAAGCTTGGATTCAGCGCTGAAATCGCCGCGTCTCCAGTGAAACCTAAATTCATCTGACACTCGGATCGGGGCAGCTTGGAACAGGGCTCACACCTATCATGTTTTCAACACTTAAATACCTTTTGATTGGGCGCTCAAATTCGGTGAAGCCTTAACTCGCGCCCCCGGACTCTGATTCCTAACAGCCCGACGCCTGAATTCGGCACAAATTTGGTGATCCCAGTCCGATGCCAATTAGATTGGGTTTGCTTATGTTCGCCTGCATCCTGATGCTTATGCCGCTCTGGATGCCGAAATTCGGCGCGCCTGCACGCACAGTTCCGTCTTTGAGTCACAGGCTCAAGCCGGAGCTGTAGGCCTCAATTTCGGAATTCGGCGCTCAAATTCCCCGAAGCCTAAATCGGCGCGCCTGGACCCCGATGCCTAAACCGCTCCTGAGGCCTCGATTCCGAAATTCATCAAAATTGGGCGCTCAAATTCCCAACCATCTTGCGGGCCGAACTGTGTCTTCGGGATTGATTTTGTCTTCAGGGTCGAACTGCGTCTTTGCGAAGGAAATTCGTCTTTGGCGCTGAGCCCTGCAAGTCTTGTCGTCATGTAGCTTGTTCGGGGGAGATCTTGTCTTCAGGACCCAATTTTGCGATTGAATCTCATCTCTGCGCGATATTTAAGCTTCAGACTGGTGCAAACAATTTTGCGTTCATCGTCTTCAACATTTCATCAACCCCCGGGGGGCGGGAGGTGGGGGCGGAGGTCGAAAAGTGGTCCCCTTTTCCCGGATCAATGGACTTGAGGGTATTGCCATTGAAAAATCTTGCATGGGAAGCAAACTTGAAAGCATCGTCCAACGCTCGCGGCGCCTTGCACTCAAGTTCTCCAACGGCACTCAAAAAATCTCAGCAAGCATCCAAAAGCAACCCATCCTCCAGGTGCGCACCTTTCTCCAAGAGCAAACGAGCGCTCTCAACATCATCTATTACCTTGGCAGGGGCACATTTTCCATACGCCCCGTCTGTTGAAGCTGCCAGATATCATCATGAGGCCAATTGCAACAAGGCGTGCACAGCCATGACGACTCATGCGAGAAGACCTTTCACTCTGTCTAGAAGTTTTAAGGGAAACAGATCCTGTCCTATCATCTCAACATTGGCTAACCTCTGGATGGCTTTGACATACGTTCCGTGCGTGGTCAAAAATATGCAGCCATTCAGCGGCTGCACAAGCCAGGGCAGTTCGGCCCTTGCTTGAAATGGCTTCCAGCGGGGCGCCTGTCACCCGAGAGGCCCGAGACACATCGCGAGCCAGTGTCTGCAACAAAGACCATGCCTGCTTCCAGCAGCTTTCGCAAATCGTCCCTCCTGCGCGAGAAGACTCGGGCTCTTGTGAAGTCCGCAGATTTTAGCAGCTTTAGCAGCTTGCCATAGCTTACCCTGCAAGTGCTTGCACAACGAGGCTCTTATTCTGCATGACTGCAGCTGCCAGAAGCGCTTCTTGTGAGATCTCGACGTACTTGGGTAGCCTGACCTTAGGTACTCAAAAGCGGCTTTTAACAGGAACGGTGAATTCTTGAAGTAGTGACTTCTCCTTGCTGCCCGAGCAGCGCCTGGGTCATTAGGCACAGCTTGGAGATAGACACACGGCCTCCTGCTAGGCATCCGAAGACCGGGAAAAGCATTTGGCGTCTTTCTCCGACTGCCTGAGCTTGGCTTATAAGGCTTCGAATTATGGTACAAACGTTAGTGGACCTCTTGATGGCTCTTTGCTCAAAGCTAGTGGTGGTAGCGCAAGATCACGGAAAACGTGCTTGAACTGAAGCAACACGACTGGAACACAACATCCAGAAATGCTGGTCGTGTGGCCTGCCATGAACGCAAAGGAAACCTTGAAGGATCATGTGAAGTGTGACATGACTAGCAGCTAGCATCATGGGCCAGGCAGGTGCACGCTGCCAGGCAGGGCGGGGTTTTGCAGCAAAGGTCCTCTATAAAATCTGAGCTGCTGAGGCCACGGCCGATACCTTCGGGAGCCAGAGACCGCAAAGGCACAGTGCTGCCATGGCGCAAATTGGGACTGGCGTCTTCCCCATGGCTGTTTCCACCACCGGGCACAACGCAGGCAGCTCTGCCATGAAAGCTGCGACACAAGGGGCGGCAGCCAAACACAAAGTAACGCATGAGTCGCATGAGGCACTGTCACTATCAGCTAGCAGCAGTGCAAAAGATCACTCCTCTCAGGAAGACATTTTGCTTTTACACCGTTGGTGGGGCAATCAAAACGATTTCTCGCAAAACATGATAGAGGCCTCAACCCCATGGCTGTTTCGTCATCGCATATCTGAGAGTCCTTGTCTTCCGTCTTTGCATTCTTTTGCTTCAAAGCTGAGAAGTCTTGTCCTAAATGCGTGTCAGATCAGACCATGTGCGCAGCAGGCTTGTGCATGCGCTGCCCTGGGTGTTTTTCTGCCTGCAGGCTCCTTTGCCCACATTGTGCCTGCATGATCTTAGGCAGGTTCTGTGGACAAGCGGCGAGCAAGCTGGATGCTTGAAGCAGCCCTCTTCTCACGTCGGAGCAGAGTAATTGAAAATCCCATTGGTGCATTGATCCTGCGCGGCACCCAGAAACAGTCTGACCATGTTCCTTCTGGCCACACATTCAGAACTGACTATAGCCAGAGTGGCAATCTCTGGGGCATCTTCCCTGCTTCGTCGGTTCAACGTGCTTGAATCTGCTGCCAGTGAATCAAGGGGGGGCGCATGTTGATAGCATGCCGTTCATGCAAGTCATAACAGGATCACGCCTCTGCTTGGGAAGGCAGACTTGGTACTACATACCCGAAAGTCTGACTCCCGAAAAAAGACATGTAGGGTGGCGTCGCTACTTCCATGTTCGGTCGAGGCGCAAAAATCTTCCCATCCCAGTATGTGCTGTGAACGAAGGCTCGGCATACTTTGCACACGAAAAGATGATGTGAGCTCAGCTGTGGTATCTCGGAAAGATCGGAAAGGTTCGCCAGAACTTGGATGACCAAGTGAGCCACACATCCGCTGATAGCAAATACATGGTCGCCTGCGTCACGGTTCTCCTGCGACGGGGGCCATGTTTCAAGAGGCCTCCACCCGGGCAAGCAGTAACCGCCCAAGTCAGCTCTGAATCGCTCGATCTTGTCCACATCTCGCCCGCTACAGCCTCCTATCTCTAGCACCGTCTTAGCAAGTTGGGCTGTCGGTACGTTGAGAACAAAAGTTCCCGCTGACAGTATGCTGACAGCCGACTGGCGGCGCTTATTCACAGACAGCACAAGGTGCCCATTATTGTCCACTGCTGTCAGCCAGCTGATGGTCATGAGGTTTTGCTCCTGGCCCTGACAAGAGCTCAGCAAACACACCGGATTTGCGTAGACCAAGCGACTAAACTGCGCTGGCTTGATTTGGCAAATAGTTCCAGCTGATGAAGGAAGTGACAGGCGCATCTCTGCAGGTCTCTGTATCGCTGCCTTCTTCATGCCATCTCTCAGCTTGTCCACAAGCTGTGCCATCAGTACCCGCGCGCCTCTCAGTTCATCACTCAAAAAGAAGGCCTCATCCTTCAACAGCACCCCAAGGACTGTCTCCAACGTGTCGATCTCCCTCGAGGACATGGACATGCAGATCAAGCAGCTGGCCGCAATGTATTCCTACTCGCACGTCACTGAACAGCAACTGCAGCTCAACTGAATCTCCAAGGTTGGACAGCGTGTCAGAGCAGGCTACTGGCTACATCTGGCTCTACTATGCTTCTGTAAGGAGAGCCGCTCCAGGTTCAAAAACTCTACATACCTTCAGTTTTCAGCATTTTTCAGCATACTCTCTGAGCCAAAAAGGATCAGGTGGCAGAGTCTCCCTCACCAGCAACACCAAGGGCGAAAGCTGAGCCCCGAACATGTTTCCACGCCAACACCATCCCGAGATCCATGGACCTGACCGTTGATCAGGTCAAAATGGGCCGTCTATCAGTGAGTTCGAATCTGCCATCAGATGCGGTCCGTCCAGGTATAATAGTGGCCGCGGACTTGGCAGCATTAAATGCGAACGCAGGGTTTTTTTGTAAAGGCTCTGGGCTTGCGTCTATCCATAAGACTCGGTGGGGCATTTGTTTCAATCTGGGCTTGGCTCATGGATTCAAGAAGGGGCCTTGCCACGACTCAGCTCTGCTGACTGGCTTGACATGTTTCATTGCCAAGGGGCGACGGCCTGAGAAGGTCTCGCTAGTTAGCATACTACTGTCTGACTACTTGTCTTTTTTGCCTCAAGCCTCGACTCTAAGACTCTGAATCCAGAGCCTCTCAAGCACTGGCACCGGAGCTTGTGATAAGTACCCACTCCGAACCAAATCCCCGAATCACTCTGGAACTGCGTGCCGGAAAGCCTGGAAGAGGGGTGATCACATTGTTTGGAGGAAGGTGGCGCTTGAGTCCGGCACCCATTGCCCATGGTATGAGGAACCATCGGCAAGGTAGTGGGCTCCAAGACCTTCATACTTCTTTCACCCAGGCCGGAGGCAACTGCTGTCCTGCTCTAATGGGCGGGCCATGGAACCGATTGCCGCGCCATTGCCCCAAGTACACCTCAGCTGCAAACCTGATGCATCCCACTTATCTGGAAGCTTGCCGGCTGTAACTGTAATGATTGCGTGCTGACATGTTGGGCATGTGTGAGAGCCCTGCGGAACCATCAGGAAATTTAAATCGTCCAAGCCTAAGTGCCACCAGGTCCCATGCGGCTGCTGTCAGGTTGAGTGCTGAGAGACCACTCAGACGCCCACCCGCATGCGCTGCTGTTGGACCTGAACCAACTGGAGCAAATTACCGATGGCAGCATGCAAAGCGCGGCAGAGCACTACGTCTCGGAACCCAGCCAGCAGCCTTCGTATTGAGCGCCATCTGGCCTGCACTCAAAGCCAAAACGTGGACCAAAACATGGAATCTCCATGATTCGCTGAGTGGCCACTCTTGCCGCCCGAAGCCATGTCGCTGGTTGCCGCACCACTGGCCTTAGCGCTGGCCACTTTGGATGAGGGCACATGGCGCATGACACTGGGTCCCGTACCGGTGTAGACAGCACCAGACCGGAATTGATGCGGAGGCCTTAGAGAGGAAAACTATCTCTCCCCCCCACACGCTGTTGACTTTGGCGCTGCTATATAAGCAGAACATGCCCAGTTACCCGACCCGGCACGAGCACGAATATGTAAGGGGAGCGAGCACAGGTAATATACAAACGGGATGAAATGGGCATGGTGGCTTCTTGAAACGACCCATCCTTTCCTGCGCTGCAACATCTTTCAGACAACCATGGACGGCGGTTTCTGCCTTCTTCTTCTTCTTCTACAGGCTGCGTGTGCCTTTAATGACTCTAATGGAACATGCCGGAGCAAGGGGTTCCTGCGCTGAACTGCGACGCCCAAGCCTGAAAATGCCTGAAGTATATGTCCGCTCTCAGCAGGGACAGGGAAAGGCCCCACCCACCAAGGGCCTTCGCTTAGGGCCCTCAAAGGAGAGCGGCAGGGAAGGCACAACATGGCTACAGGTTTCTACCGGGACACCCCCGAACCCCGCGGTGCGAGTTCATGTCAAGTCGGGATTCACGAGGCTTGACATACTACCCTTACTCAGAACACGTCCACTCCATTACCCCAATGAGCAGTGGTAGCTCCCTTTTTGGTGAACGTGTCCAAGCAAAGGCATCTGAATGATCCCCGTCCTGCCATTGCCAGTGTAACACCAGTTGCTGCCCGCCTGTTGCCTCATCCCCGCCGGCCCTGTCTCTGGGCCCTGGGTATGCTGGGCGCAGCTGAGCGCGAGGTCTCAGTTCGGCATGCAATCTGGGTCTGTCAGGCATGTCTTCAATGAGGGTAAAACGTCACCAAGTAGCTGTTCAAGACTGCGCCAACATCCTGGCTTGTCAGGGTTTTCTCAATCTTTCACCTGACAGAGCTCAGGAATTGTTCCACATTTACGCATCAGTGCCACTTCTCTCTCCACATCTCCCCACACAACCAGGAAAGTCTGACCAAAATTACACCATATCCAATGCTAGCGCCACGATTTCCCTGTTTTGGCGTTCCAAGTTGCAGCCTCAACAAGTCGGTGGTTAGCAACTCCATAGGTTGTCCATCCGGTAGTTTAAATTTTATCGTATTCGTTTCTTAGAAGGCTTAGTCTTAGCAATCACTTGCACCGAATTGTCTTCACTTGGTTAAATCGGTGGCTAACAGCTCCATAGGTTGCCCATCCTGTACTTTACCCTATTTCAAATTGTTTCCATCTGGCATATTGCGCCCAATTAGTGTCAGCATCTTCGCAATCACTTGCATCGAATTGCCTCCATCTGGTATTTTGCGTGACTTGGTGATGTGCACCCGAGTATTACATCTCACCTCCAGCACCCTTTTAGTATTTTCGGCGCTGCCCCCATGGCTTCTGAAGACCTAGAGAAGTCAGTCACCTAGAGCGATTCCAAGCCAGCTCCGACAGCCAGCTCCCCAACTCCTCCCTAATTAGGATTCAATGCACGGTTCCCAGCTCTCCATTTGGCAGGGTTCCAAACAGAACTCCTTAGGATGAGGCTCCGAATCCAACAGTTCACCCCCAGATGGCCCGTGAGGAAGATTGACTATTCCATTCCCCAGAATGGATTGGTTCGCTGCATCGAGGGGGCTGAGGGTACTGCCGCTCCCCCGTTGGTCTGGAATCTGGTGCCATCCTTCTTGAGCATCGTACCTTCCTCCTTGCCACCATGTGGACCACCACCTATCTCTTCTACTCTCTCGCTCTTCTTCTTCTGCCGGCGACCGCGCCCCGTTCGCTGTCAATGGGTCGGGTACCCCAGAAGCCCGAGACGCGGGGAATCCCAAGCCAAATACTCTCCCCCTCCCTCTCTCTCTTCTTCTTCTTCTCACTGCTATGCCCCCCTCCCGTGAGGGGGACCGGGGCACAGCCCCGAGCAGGCATGGAGCGAGTTCTCAGCAGTGGGAGTGGCACTTACGGTATCGGAAGGAACGAGAAAA